GGTGTGGGGTGTGGGTGTGGGTGTGGGTGGGTGTGGGTGTGGGTGTGGGTGTGGGTGTGGATGTGGGTATGGGTGTGGGTATAGTTAGAAAGACACGCCAACACCCACACCCACACACCCAGACCCACACCCTCCCACACCCACACCCCACACCCCACACCCACCCACCCAACAATAGTTTTGATCATGTTTATGCTATAGAATCTATATGTCATGCATCAGAAAAGGTATATTATTGTATTTCTTTTTTTATTTAAAAAAATTCTTTTTTTTTCCTACAATGATTTAGTCTAAATGTTTTCCTGAAGTTTTTCGTGTACTTAAACCAGGTGGTTCATTTGTTGGTTATGATGTGTTTTTAACTGATAAATATGATGATGAAAAATCGTGAACATATTGAAATAATGCGTGCAATGGAAGCAAATTTTGGCTTGCTCGAATTAAGATCAACCCATGAATTCGTTTCGGATCTTCAATCAGCTGGTTTTACTGTTGAAGAAAATCGAATAATATCCAAAGGTGATATTCCTTGTTATCAACAACTAGAAGGCAGTGGTTCATTTTTCTCATAAAAACATTTTTGTACAAGCCCTCTTGGTCGATGGTTAGGACGTAATATAATATGACTATTGGAAAAAGCTCGAATATTTTCTAAAGATAGTACAGCAATAAGTGATATGTTTCAACGATCAGCTAAAATTGGATTATGTGCCGCAAAACTTGATATAGTTACATCTATGTTCTTTTTTCTTGCTCGAAAACCTTAATTATAAAAAAAAAACAGCTTATCAGAGCAGCCCATTTGGGGCTAAAATTTGAAACTCACATTTCTTCTTTAGCTTCATTACACTAATACAAAATATATAAAGTGAAAAATCTCTAACAGACGCAAATTGCTTTCTAAAAATGATCCATACCAGAGAAACGGCCTATCTTATTGTTTCTGCATCTCAAACAGACATTCTTTTTTCTTTCAATTGTTTTTACTGGCGCCCTATATTTTATTTATCTTGTTGCTATTTGCTCATTATTTAATTCCTTTTGTTTTATTTCATTTTTCTTAATTTACTATTATTATTATTCTAACCATTGATTTAACTAGCAAATAAGCCTATTATATACATATTTTATACCCGCAACAGATCTCAACACGTTATTGTTTATCTCGATAAATTCTGAATCGCTGATATTGATTACTCTCGAAAGATAGAATTTGACCACTTTATGCGTTTTGT